AAAAAAAATACTATAAAGGGCAAATAGTCTTTTTCATGGATAAGGACCAAATACGTCGAAAAATTAAAACCACAATGACCACTGGTACAACGTTTTCCAAAGATGTCGGGAAAGTGACAATGTTTGGAAACTGAAGGGACCATTTATGAAACTTTGTCTAAAATTAAATAATTACAAAAAGCACCTTCAAAAACTGTTGAGTATAAAATGCCGTCGTACTATCCTTTGGGTATAATCGTCATTGGGAGATCTTGAAACGGGGACAAAAGTGTCAAATCGGAGAAAATGACACCTACTACATTCGTAGTTCCGCACACCACCCTTGTCTTCTTATATAATGCCTCGGTTGCCTGCGGACTCCCCAAGAAAAACAACTCTATAAACACCCCTTCGTCTCACTCCCCTCTCGAAACCTCTCTTTCCCATCATTTTTTATACGAAATCGTTATACGAATCTCGATGGCGTCTGCAAGCTTCGTGAAGTTAAATGCATCTTCTTCACCTTGGATCGGTCAACGATCCTTCAACCAACGTCCGGGATCTTCCCCCCGGTTACCCGCCACTCGTGTATCTGTCATCCGCGCGGGATCTTACTCCGAGGAACTCGTCAAAACCGCTGTGAGTTTGAGTTTCCATTTCTGTTTCATTTTGGATTGAATTGTCGTGGTTTCTGTTTTTGAATTTACAAAGCTGATCTGATTTTGCGTTGTGTATGGACGATCTGATTAATCGAACTGCGCTTTTTTTTGTTGTTGTTAGGCGGTAGTTGATTTTAGGGTTTAGTTTAATTGCAACTGGATTTAAGTCTTAATAGTTTGATCACTGTAGTGGTAGGCGGAGGGGTCATGTCCTTTTCGCATCACGAGCAGCCAAATAACATTAAATTTATGTTGGAGGGTCGTCTTGTCTTCATATTTATTTTTCAAACAATTGTTGACTTTTTTTGCACTTTACGTGATTGAAACTTAATTGTTCATGGATTTGGCTTTCTTGGAAGCCGAGTTAGTCTTCTTCCTTTCCTGAATCATGTTTACAGATTTGTGATCATTTACATCTACTGATTATATCTTTTCTTGTTGGAGTAGAAAACAATTGCATCACCTGGCCGCGGTATCCTTGCCATTGATGAGTCAAATGCAACTTGTGGAAAGCGATTGGCATCAATTGGATTGGACAACACCGAAGCCAACAGACAAGCCTATAGACAACTTCTATTGACCACTCCTGGTTTAGGTCAATACATCTCTGGGTCCATCCTTTTCGAGGAAACCCTATATCAGTCAACTACAGATGGAAAGAAGATGGTTGACTGCTTGCGTGAACAGAACATCGTACCTGGCATTAAAGTTGATAAGGCATGAATACATTCTCTTCTCCTTTTGGAATCCAATACCAGCAACTTCTTTCAACTAACTGTTTAGTATAATAAGTTCTTACTTATTTAGTTATCTTTCACAGGGTTTAGTTCCCCTTCCAGGATCCAACAATGAATCATGGTGCCAAGGGCTAGATGGGTTAGCTTCTAGAACAGCTGAGTATTACAGTCAAGGAGCTCGCTTTGCCAAATGGTGAGATATATCAGATTTAATAGTCTTTGAATTTTTTGTATCTTTTTTGAGGTCTAGTTCAATGATGTAACATTTTATGTTATTTTGTAGGCGTACTGTTGTCAGCATTCCTTGTGGGCCTTCTGCTTTGGCTGTGAAAGAAGCTGCATGGGGTCTTGCACGTTATGCTGCCATTTCCCAGGTTTGTTGCTCAAGACTGTGTTATTAACATATCAAGAGTAAGTGAATGATGAAAGAAAGAGTTGACCTTTTGTCTGATAACTTGATGTAGGACAATGGATTGGTGCCAATAGTGGAGCCAGAGATCCTTCTAGATGGAGACCACTCAATAGAAACAACACTTGAAGTAGCTGAAAGAGTTTGGGCAGAGGTTTTCTACTACTTAGCAGAAAACAATGTTATGTTTGAAGGAATCTTGCTAAAGCCCAGCATGGTCACTCCAGGAGCTGACCACAAGGAAAAAGCTTCACCGGAGACTATTGCCAAATATACCCTCACCATGCTCAAGAGAAGGGTCCCACCTGCAGTTCCTGGAATCATGGTATGCATACTAGTTGAAGACTTTGAGAATCTTGATAATTTGTAGTGTTTTTCAAGAAAATGAAATGACCATTTTGGTTGTGTAGTTTTTGTCAGGGGGACAATCTGAAATGGAAGCTACCTTAAACCTGCATGCAATGAACCAAAGCCCTAACCCATGGCACGTGTCCTTTTCATATGCACGGGCCCTACAAAACTCGGTGCTCAAGGCATGGCAAGGGCTGCCCGAGAATGTGGAAGCCGGGCAGAAGGCACTTTTGACACGTGCAAAAGCAAACTCATTGGCTCAGCTTGGAAAGTACTCTGCTGAAGGTGAAAGTGAAGATGCTAAGAAAGGAATGTTTGTCAAGGGCTACACCTACTAAGTAAGGCATACTATTTAGGTTGGTGAGTTTTTTCTTTTTTGATGTGTGGTTGTGTAATTTTAGAGCTGTTTTTGAATAATAATAATATCTGGATGCTAAAACTGACCCTTGAATATGTGGGGTAGTGAAAGGTGAGGGTGGGTCTTAGAGTTAAGACTAGTTTTGATGATGCAAATGAGTATCTGACTTTTTTTCTTCTTGTGTAATCTAGAATGGAACAGAACGATGTGTTTGGGATTGGGATTGGGATTGGGATTGGGTTGCCTCTAAAATGAAAATGCCAAAGGGAGGGAAATCGAGTAAATGTTTCTACTTGAAAAACTTAACTAGAATGATGTTTGTTAGCTTTTATTACTATTTTATAAATGAGTTATTCACTAAAAATGACCACTTTTTGAGCCAACGTATCCCGCAATAACCACTTATTCTGCAAGTATTCAAAAATGACCACTATCACTATGCCCGCCTAAATGTGCTTGCGAATTTGCTAGTGGGCCTGGCCCATATAATTCATTTACCTTCTTAAATCAACCCACGGATGTTCGATTGCAACACTGTTGTCACATCAAGTCGTGCATCCATGTAGCAAATATCTAGTGGAAAGCCTCTAGAAGCAAAAAAGACATTAAAGTCGAATTCACTGCCACATCATCTAATAGCCATCCATCTAACGATGGCTTTATATTTCTTCTTTCTTCTATCTTTGTCAAAGCGTCATGGAACATCTGTGCTAACAAATGCACTTGGAAAGAAGCAATATCTTTACTTAAATTGACTCTATCTTCTAAATCAGAGGTGAGACACCAAAACAGAAAGCTACAAACAGGTAGGAATGGGTAAACAACATGTGCCTAGTCCAGTTTGAACTGTATAAGAACCCAAAACAAATAAGTCAATTTCAACATATAGTCAGTCGGTTCCCGAATTAAGAAGGAACACTCTCTTGAGATTTACTATGGTACATCAATGTCAACCGGGACTTTGTTTGTCTTCAAATGATTGGAGTCGAATATCCATTGGAAACAAAAACAATCATATATCTATTTGATTTAAACCAATCCAAACCTCTATTACATTATTATCATGATGATTGCTTCATGTTGAAAGATAAATAGAGCATTCTAGAAGCTCAAATAACTAAGTCTCACACTCTCACCCAAAGACCCTTCGAGGGGTTTCATACCAAAATATTACACAAATCCCCTTGAAGAGCCAAAGCAATAATAACCATTACAAAAACCCAAAAGTTGTGTTATCCATCATCTCAATCTAAGAAGACCTCCACCCATAATACAATCAAAGGAGGCTGTTCTAGATGATCGTAGTCAAACCAAAAATAGTCACACCAAATACTACAATGAAAAAACAACAGAACACATCATCATCGTATTTTCAAGGTATATGGATCAAACCTATAAGTATAATCACGGAAAGACAATAACCCATGTTTACAAATACATATTCTTAATACCTCTAAGAAAATGTGAGATTCAACAAAGAGAATTTATAAGGTGGGAAAGAGAGCACACATCCAAACTTAAACCAACTTCTTTATACAAATGAGAAGTGATATCACGGGATCTCCATGCATGCCCAAAAGAAGAAACCTTTGAACATATAAAATGCTCCTTATGGATAAACTGATGGATAAAACATAACATGAATCCAAGTTGTATGTGCCAAGTCTAGTAAGCAAAAACCTAACACCTGAACAAAAGCTAAAATATATGATCTTGCTCTTCATAAACCAACCAACCATGTCACTAAATGATCCCATAACAAGCAACAACTGTGACAATAATGACCCCTAAACTCACACCAACTCCAAAATACTCAACACAACCCCCCATGATCGTGGAGCCTAAATGTGATGGAAATAACAGCAAATACCTCCAATGAGCAAAACGGGGAACTCCACATCCCAGATATTCGTTGTCATAATCTAAACAAAACAAACTACATCAAGGTCAACCAAAAACAAACAAACTGAAGCAAGTGCAACTGATCACTATCAGCCATTATCACCAACACATTCTAAGGGAGTTTTTTTTGTCGGTTTAATCGGTTTTTTGTTTATTCGGTTTGGTTCTATCAGTTTTTAACAATTCTAAATTAATTATATCCAAATCAAGTAAGCTTTGATTTAATCAGCTTCGGGTTATACGATTTCCATTTATTTGGGACAGTTAATCAGTTAAACTGAAAATTTCTGATGTTTTTGGTCATATGATTTTCATTCACAAACTAGGAAAATAAGATAGCTTTTTTGTTAGTCATATTAAACCAATTCGCCCATGTAAAGTTGTAACGTCCCCAAAAATATACATATAATAAAACATAAGTTTAGTTTCAAAATAGTTAATGTATAAAAGTAAATTTTCAACAATATCAATATAATAACTCATTCGGGTTATTCAGTTAACCCATATTGGGAGAAAATTAACCACACATAATAAACCGAATAAGTTATCCTTATCCTGTTAATCAAGCTAAATTACCCCAAAACTGAATAAACACAACCAAGTAACCCATACTTTATTCGATTGGATGAATTATTCAAATGCAATTTTTATGACACTCCTATCCAAATGCTCAAAGAAGAACCCAAAGATAAAGAACATGCATCGAATGAACTTTAACCCATGAACTACTATACAAATGAAGTAAACCCTATAAACAAGGAAAACCCCAAAATGCACTCCAACAAATTATATTTGTGACACATCACACATACATTCAAATGGTGTTTTAAGACATATACTTTGGGTTGGTTAACCAGATTTTAAGCATCCTGGATTGCATGGTCCTGCATCAACAACATACATACATGATACGATGTTAGCATTCGTGGTAACATTCTGTAAAAAGGAACAATGTTCATGCTTTCATGTCAAAACATGATATGAAGTCTTAACTTTGAATGCTTAAAACTAAATTTACCACAGCAAATCCATGTGAATCAGAGAATCGTACCTGTTTTTATGGCGCTTTTTGGAAGACTGATACTGGATCTCTGAAGCTGTTTCTCATCAGGCTTACAACCAAAAGTTATATATAAACACAATTTTAACCTCATTGGTCTACAAGTCACCTGATTTTCAAATAATCATATACTTGACTTCCTCTATTTCAAACAAACACCATTCACGTAAAAATGCAAAAAGAACACACCACATTTAGCAAGATATAGCAAAATTTCTGATGGTTTGTATTGCATTTTATTTCTAAAATTTGTCTACAATTGCAAAGAACACCACTATATGCATACTGCAAAACTTCTCGGGAATTTTGCATTCAACTGAATATGAATAAGTTATACAAGAAGAGTGTTTGCATTGGAACAAACAAGGTATGGCTTTATGGTTTGACATGATGATGATCATCAAGATTCATTTAGCAAAAAAAAAATGAAAGAATACGATACTAACTTTCCAGACATTTTTCTCATCTACATACCTGTTATAACATCATAAAAGATTGTTTCTCATTGTGAGCTCTAGTGTATCAAATCTATTTCTTGAATGTATAAACATTCGAGTCAATTTAACTGCAAAAATAAAGATAAAACCATCAAAAATTAGGCAACGAAAAACACAACAGAATAGAATGTTGTAGAAATCAAAGATGGAAAAAGTAAAAACTAACCTGAAGTCATTTCAAGTGATTTGTTAACGTGTCCACCTTAGTCATTTCACAACCGATAGCCACAAAAAAAGATTTGACTTTTTGACCATATCAATCACTATAAATAGGAAACAGATTTTGCTTCACAAATCTCCTCATTACCAAGAACCACATTTTCAAGATAACGAACAGCATCAGCTTTTGAATCCAAACCTATTTTCTTCAACAATGCACTATGTGTACACGAATCAGGCTCAATTCCTCTATCCACCATCTCTGTATATAACCTCAAAGCCTCACTCCAATTCCCCAAATCACAATTCCCATTAATCAAAATGGTATAAGAATATTTATTAGCAACTAAACCTCTCGCTTCCATTTCAGAAAAATATCTATACGCATGATCCATACGTCTACATTTGCAATAACCATTGATCAATGCATTATATGTAATCACATTCGGCATGATACCCTTCTCTTGCATCTCCATGAAATACATTAATGCCCATTCTACCCTTGCAGTAACCGCATGTGCGTGTATCAACACTGTGTACGTCACAACCGTAGGATCCACCCCTTTGCTTTGCATTTCATAAAACAAGTCTTTGGCTTTTTGAATCTTCCCAGATTCCAAATGTGAACAAATAATACTTGTATATGTGAAATGATCAGGAACAAAGCCTTTACTAACCATTTCTTTTATCAACTCATTAGCTCCTTCAACATTTGCATCCTTACAAAGACCATGTACAAACACATTATATGTGATTAAATTGGGCCCAATACGTTTTTCAAGGATTTCTAGTAACCCAATTGCTCTTTTGGTATCATCAAGTTTCAGTTCTCCTGCTATTCGAGTGATGTACGCGTATTGATCAGGCTGCAAACCATGTCTAATCATTTCTTGATAAGTTTTTGTACCCATTTCCAAATCACCCATCTTGTAACAACCCTTTGCCAATATCGTGTAAGTGTAAACATCGGGAGGAAAACCAAGATTTACCATTTCGCCCTTGAGCTCCATTGCCTTTTGCATATTACCACTTCCACATAGCCCTTGCATAAGGGTGTTGTAGGTAATCATTGTAGGAAAAAGATCCCTACGCCTCAACTCGGATACCAACAAGAAAGCTTCTTTTATACGCCCCAAAAGACAATACCCATAAATCAAAATATTGTATGAAACTATATCTGGCATTAAACTCTTTTTTAGCATAATGGAATGTTGTTGGCGAGCATAAACGATTCTTCCTTGTTTGCATAATCCATACATGAGAATGTTGTATGTATGTACAGTTGGTGAAGCTCCTACAATCGCCATTTCTTCAACAAGATTGAATGCTTCTTCAATTAAGCCTTTCTCACAATACCCACGAATTAAGGGATTGTAACTGTATGATGATACCTTCAACCCCAAAACTAACATCTCAGAAAGCATCTCTTTTGCTTGATCAAAATCGCCTATTTTCACCATCCCACTAATCAATGCATTATAAGTAACATCATTGGGTTCACAGCCTTTTGTTTGCATCTTTTCCAAAAGGTTTAATGCTTGTCCCACTTCTCCCTCTTTGCAATATGAATCCAACAAAGTATTGTATGTTATGATGTTTGGCTCAATGTGATACACATTCATCATACTATAAACTTGTTTTCTTTTGTGAACTAATTTCTTATCTCTAAGCATCTTAAGAATCCTGTTGCAGTTCTTCACATCTGGCAAGAACTTGCTTTCGACCATTTTATTAAAAACCCATAAACATTGCTCAACCATGACTTTCTTAGCTAAGAAAAAGAGCATAAAGTCGAGCAGCTTAGCTGCAATATTTGCATTCAGGTTGCCATCGATTAAAGAATTCACAACCCCATTCAAATTCCCACAAACCATTTTTTCCATCACTGGATACGCCCGATTCATCAGATTGCTCTCCGCGAGAATCTCAAGAATAGCAATAAACGAATTATCTGAAGGCGTAAAGCCTGATTGTTTTTCCACCCAATGGAAGAACCTAAGAGCAATCCTGGGGTGTTCTTTGATTGAACTAAGAACCCTAGTAAACAATTCGGGTTCAAATATCACTGCTTGAAATCTATCCTGAAGCGGGTTAGGACCTGGTTTAGTATTGTAACAAAATGCCCAATAATTTCTTTCAATCGCTGAAAATATGAGGTTCTTGAAATGAAACTCGGTGCAATCGATACTATTATTTGTACAGTTCTGGGTATTGGTTTTGACAAATGGGTAGTTCTGAGATTGATGAAAAGATTTCGATAAGAAAGTTAAACGAACCTTTATGAAATTGAAGCTGTGTTTTCCAGTGGTGACGATGGATTTTGAAGATCTAACATGGAGGGTCATTGAGCGTTGGTTATAGTGATTGAAGATGAGAAGAGATTCATGTGATATGATGAATAAATTGTTGCTAATTCGAAGCAGGTTTAGGGTTTTGAAAAATCTTGCACATGGTAAGTAGAACAGAAGAGGAGGAATCGATCGACGTAGATTCATCCATCGCCACCAGCTCTAGTGGACGGCGGCTGGTTAGAGTGCTTCACCCCCTAGCCCAATTACTTCTTTAAATTGATGTCTTTATAATTTGGCCACTATAATTTTAGGTTCTTTCAAAACTAGCATCCAAGTTATTTTTTATAATTGACCACTAAACTTTAAAATAGTTTATATTTAGCCTCGAGTTGTCGACGTTTTTCTATTTGACTCACGAGACATTTTTAGCAGTCTATAATTAAAGGAGGATATAACTAAGACCCGAAAAATATATTTTGTCTTGTGAGGTACGTTTTAGACTGAAATATTAAACGGGTCGAGAGAGCTTCAAATTTATAGTTCAATCTCTTTAATTTAGAATTAATCAGAATTAATTTGGAATTAATTTTGGGTTAATTAGAATTAATTAAAAGTTGAATGACTATAATTGTAATTGTTCAAAAGTTGAGCAGAAGACATGTTCTAAAACCCTCCTGCTATTGACGGTTTTGGAGACTCTCTTGAAGCCTTCACGAGGATAAACTAGAAACTAGATAATTACCTTATTTGAAGTAATATTATTTTATGTTCAAATCAGAGTTTCTAAGTATTTCCTTGTCAGCTATAAATAAAGCCTTTAGCATTGAAATTGTCGGACAAGCTTTCTAAGAAGATCAAATCCGAAAATTTCATACCTCTTCCCTCTCTCCTAAATCTTTTAGGGTTCTTGTGTTGTGGGTGTGAACCATTAGAGGCTTGCATACAATTGAAGCTAATTTTCAAAAGACTTTTGGATTGTTCAAAGGGTTTGTTTACAACAACAAATCAAAGGTATGCAATTGACCCTGTGAATTTTGATTTCAACTAGGATTAGAGTTTTGTTGTTCAATTATACGTTGCTTCAATAGAGATATGACATAGATCCAAAACTAGGTTGCATATACCCTTAATAGTTTAAGATATTTTTTCCACATTATTACTGTAACACTCCAATCCAGGTATTCCATTGTTCACCCTCAAGTGTTTCAATTTTGTCAGAAATGGTCTTTTCCGTACGTTGGGCGTACATCTGTGTACGCTTAGCATACGTGTGTGAGGGCATCGGATGGCTGGAGCTCGTACGCTGGGCGTACAAGCATGTACGCAGGGCATACATGGCAGATGTCTAAAACCCTAATTCTTTGACTTGCGCCTTATTTAAGCAACCTTATATCATTTGGACCAAACCCCTAATCAGCCTCCATAGCCTCATTTCGTCCCTTAACCCCAGATTTTCATGTGAGTGTGATCCTTGAGCTTAAAGAGTGTTTTGGTGGCCATTTTAGAGAGCATTCAAGAAGGAGAAGGTGGTGATCAATAGGGATGAGCATTAGGACCGCCAGAACCGGAATTGGTAACAAGGTCCGGTTACCGGTTCTCCATTTTTATGAAAACCGGTCCCGGTTCTAAAACTGGAACCGGTTTGACAATATCCCGTTTTTTAACATGTCCATAACTCACTCATATGAAGTTGAAATTATTTGATTTTTTTTCCAACATGTAATTTGGAGTTTGTAATTGTAACATCCATAAAAATCATGCCAAATTTAAACTTTTTAAAACATTTCAAAACCAATGATTATTACAAAACTTTGTTTTCAAATAGTTCAACGTCAGAGTTTCCCAGAATCAAATCATAAAATATAAGGAGGTGCACGATCACGCCTTCGCCTTCCCGCGATCATCAGAAGTACCTGAAACAATAATCGATAAATGTAAGCTCGAAGGCTTAGTGAGTTACCCCCAAAATACCAACGTCATACGATCATAATCATAACATATAAACAAACACAACATGCATAATGAGCCATCAGTCTGACTGGACTGCCTGCACCGGGCCTTCAGTCTATCTGGACCGCTCTCCGAGCCTTCGGCACGTCTGGACCGCCTCTCAGGGCCTTCAGCCTATCCGGACCGCTCGTCGGGCCTTCGGCCTGACTATATGCCCTCCCGGGTCTGCAGTCTATCCGGTCCGCCCTGGGTATCTTGGCCTACAGCACAAAGCAGGACATGCCTCAACCCAATCCCCCAAACCAACAAACATGTGCACATAAATATCATACGCTAGCATGCAAGTACAGATAGTCATATAGATCTAACAGATCACTAGCATGGCAACCATCCTATAACCAGGATACCAATCTAACCGATCAATAACATAGCAACCATCCTATAACCAGGATATCGATCTAACAGATCTCTAACATAGCAACCATCCTATAACCAGGATACCGACCTACCAGGTCACTAAGCATATCATCATCCTAACTACCAGGATGTAAATCAATAAGCATATCATGCAATAAACCCGGATACGAATCTGATAAGGGCCGGTATTGGTGCCTTGGACCCTGTTGATATAGTGAGGAGAACTCACCTCACAAGTGTCGAACTGTAGCTATAAGATCAACTCCCGAATCACTGTCACGAACCCCACCACCTATAACCACCATAGAACAAAGTCCATCAAAATCCCAATTTACCAAAATGCCCTCAAAAGTCCAACTGTTCAACCCTTGGTCAAAGTCAAAGTCAAAGGTCAAAGTCAACGGTCCATGTTGACCCGACTCGTCGAGTGCAGCTAGCCACTCGTCGAGTTCTTCAAGAACTCAGAAAGTCATAAAACCCTCACTGACTCGCCGAGTTTCCAACCAACTCATCGAGTCCATGCGTATCCAGAAGTCGGGGGAAAACCCTTACTGACTCGTCGAGTCCCCTTACTGACTCGCCGAGTCCATGCAGAACCCAACCATGGTAAATCTTCATCGGACTCGCGGAGTCGTCTATGCGACTCGTCAAGTTCATGCAGTCCACTTCTTATATAAATATTTTTAAGCTACTCCAAAGCTCCAACTGGTAGATCTAGTCTCCTAGGGCCTAGTTACCACATAAAGTTGCAAACTTTAGGTGCATGCAAGGTCTTAAGAGCCAAAACTAGGCTAAAGAAGAAGCTTAAGGCAAGGAGAAGGCCATAGCTTGACAAAGACTAGAACTTTGTGACAATAAAGGGGCTAAAGGAGTCCAGATCTAAAGTTACAACCTCAGATCTTGCCCCAAATCCGGAAATACCGCAACAATACACTAGAAAGGGTTCTAAACCCATGTATGAAGAGATTTAGCTAATAGAGAGCCAAGGTAACGACTTGTTACCTTCAAAGTGATGCTAAAATGGAGTAGAATTCGGATCCACAACTATTCCTTGTTCCAAGCTCCTTGGACTTCAAGCTCTTCTCACCAAAATCCACCTTCCAATCTTAATAACACACAAATATGGAGAGTAACTACGATTTAGGGTTTCTGAGCTCAAGGGGGGCTGTAAGGGAGGCTAATGATCCTTTAAATAGGGTGCAAAACCATAGAAATTAGGGTTTCATCCTCCAGCTCCAACTCGTCGAGTTGTGTCCTCCAACTCGTCGAGTTGGTCACTAAAGACACGCGGCCAAGTTCGTTCCTACTCGACGAGTCAGGGCATCCAACTCGTCGAGTAGACCTTTCAAAATGAATATAAGGCTATAAAGTTTATACCTGAGAGTCGGGGTGTTACAGTAATTCATTTTTTACTGTACAAACATATGTTTTGGTTAGATATTGAATCAGACACACGCCCCAAAAGAAAGAATGTCGATGTTGCGTTTTATCTATTTCAAGATTTTTTTTTGTTTTTTTGAATTTGTCCCATTTTTTTAAATGTGCATAACTTATTCATATGATGTCGGAATTACTTAATTTTTTTTCCAGCATGTAATTTGGTGTTTGTACTTCATTTTAGACTATAAAAACACACATTTTGGTTAGATATTAAATCGGTTATAGACCTCCGAAGAGAGCATATCAATGTTGCGTATTTTCTGTTTCGGCATTATTTTTTTGGAATTTGTCCCGCTTTTAAAATGCGCATAAGTCACTCATATGAAGTCAGAATTACTTGATTCTTTTTTCATCATGTAATTTAGTGTTTGTACTTCAATTTAGAATGTAAAAAGTCATAATTTGGTTAAATATTGAATCATTTACAAGCTCTGGAAGATAACATATCATCTATAATATTTCAACTGGTTCTAGTTTGAAAAATAACCGAAAAACCGGGACCGGAACCGGAACCGGCGCTAGAACCGGCGGTCCGATTCCCTGTTTTTATAATATAGGAAAACCGGTTCCGGTTCTAAAGCTCATCCCTAGTGATCAAGTATTGGTGTCATTGAGCTTCTAGATCCTGCATCAAGTTCATCTTGAGGAACTTATGGAGGTATAAAGCCATAACCTTGTCATCTCTTTTGTTAGTTTGAGCTAGGGTTTTGTTATAAAGTCCCTTTTTGGTTCTTGGACCCTCTCTTGTGAGTTGAGCAACTCCAAAGACTAGGATTGTTAGATCTAAGCTCTTTGAGCATGCTTGATGCATAAAGGTGCCATCTTGAAGGTTGTTTTGATGTTATGCATGAGTTTGAGGTCTTAAATGAGGTCTTAATGGGAAGAATGAAGTATTGGGGACCCTTATGGCATGCAAGGGAATAAAGTTTCCAACTTTATGGCCTAGGACATCTTAATGGACTCAGATCTGAAGTTTAACGTTGAAATCCCAAGTGTTAAGCACTTAATGGTCGTTAGTGCATATTCTGCTTGTACGTCGGGCATAATATCATGTACTCTGCGCGTACAGCCAAGGGTGTGACATCCCCAGTTTCACGGCCAACAAAGACCGATTTTTTTTATGATTTATAATAAAATCAGAGTAACTTTTAAAAGAAAGTGTTGCAGAATTCGTTCCCAAAAATATAGATAAGAATTTATCAAAGCATTTTCGAATAAATGTATTTGCATTACATTACAAAACTCGG